GAAGGCAAATGCATTCCAAAAGGAAAATGGAATTCTCATACAGTACAGACAAGGAACAAAGTTGCTATAAGAACTTTGGAATACTATTTGACATTATCTATTAAATTTAAACACCCATGTACCCAATGACCTAACAATTTCATAAGTGGGTATAAAAGTGCACCTACAGAACTGGGCAAGAATACTCACAGAAAAAAAATGTGTAAAATCCCCACACTGATACAGTAGTAAATTAGGAAAATATAAATTATAGTATGTACATACAATGAAATACTATGTAATGATAATTAAATAATTATAGCTACATGCAATAATATGTCTGAATCTTACATAATATTGATCAAAATAAGCCCAACACAAAGATTATATTAATTAATTTATATAATATGCAATAACAGGCAAATCAGTCTGTAGAATTGAGGTTAAGACAGTGGTAACTTCTGGGGAGAAGGGAGGAAATGTGGATGGTATGGGCAGAAGGCTGGATTCTGAGTGTTTGGTTGTTACTTGATCAAGGTGATGGTTACACAAATGTGTTTACTTTGCCCATTCAACTGTATATTTATGATTTATCCACTCTTCTATATATCTGTAGTGCTTCAATTAAAATGGTAAAAATTTGGGGGTGCCTGGGTGGCTCAGTCCATTAAGTATCTGACTTTTAGTTTCGGCTCAGGTCATGGCCTCAGGGCCCTGTGATTGAGCCCCCATCAAGTACCATGCTCAGTGCAGAGTCTGCTTGTCCCTCACCCTCTGTCCCTCCCCCTACTTGTGCTCTCTCTCTCTCTCAAATAAATAAATACAATCTTTAAAATATTAAAACAATGGTAAAAAAAATTTAACTTGACATATTAAAACATACACTTTAAATATTAACATCTATCTTTCTTGACCATTATCATCACCATTCTCTCAGTTCTCTACCTTATAGACTGTAATTTGATTCTCTTTCCCTCATTTCCTAATCCAAACTGTCATGAATTATTTAATTTTTGGTCTTGAAATATGTTTTATAATTGTCCTTAATATGATTCAGTTTGATCTTCATGCCCACTGTTATTCTCCTAGTGGAGATTCTACTCAATTCAAGCTTAAGCAATTGAACTCCTTCAGAATGATTTTACTGATTTACATTTCTTTTATCTGTCATAAATAATTTTCTGGAGCCACTACTTTTAGAATTTGACACTTATGATCAAATAGTTTCTTTAGTGACTTTGATCACCTACAAGAACTTGATTAAACTATTTTGCTTTGCTTTGAAGACCCTTCATTTTCTGACCCTCACTATTTCATTATTATTTACTCAGGTTTTCTGTACAAAGTGCCTTCTTCGGAAAAACTTCAATTCTCTATCATTTTATGGAAAATATATTCTCAGGGCAGTTACTTTCTTAGTCTAGATGTTCTTTCATTGTCTGTTTTTTTTTTTTTCTGTATTTGTCCATACTTAACTATCCTTCAAAGGTATCTTTGTTTCAGTTATTTCTTAAAGTTTTATTTGATTACACCAGATTGGCTGATCCCCTTTCCTTTGTAACATTTCTACCATTCTTACAGAATGCATAGTATAATGATTAATTACATTCCCAATTATTTATAAAGATTCTATTAATATTATATGTCTCAGGGTCTGCACATATTAATACACAGATGGAGATGTACAGAAAAGCTCAATACCCTGTTCTCCAGAATCTCATAGTCATGTAGAGATAAAGGTAAGGAAAGCACATAACGAGAGTATCATGGAGTGTTAAACCTTGTAATATTTTTGAATGTTAAGGGAACATAGGACAGAAAGCAATAAAAAATTTCTTGGAAAAAGCACTGTGGGTTTCACAGAGAGGGCTATCAAATGGATTTGGTAGGCAAACCCCAACATCGGGCTCCATCTCAACATCCATGAGGTCATGAACTGAGCTGAATTCATCAGTCAAACACTTAACCAACTGAGCCACCTGATGTCCCAATTTTTAAGGATGATTTGGTTAATACACTTATTCTATTTTTTATTTAGCAGTAAAATCTATTTTTGGATACAGTACAAGTACAGAGAGCAAGAGTAGAGGTTCAAAGCTTTTGATTCTTTTCTATTTTCATTTGGCCACTCCTTATTTATTATTATTATTTTTTTAAACAAAGCAAGAGTTTGCTAACTCTTAAGCCTTAGCACAATCAGTAGGGTTAAAATGACAATGAGTGGTTGATACCAGCAAAAATAAGCAGCACAGGCTTGTAAATTGTGTGTGTGTAAGGCAAGTGTTATAATTCCACAAAGTACACAGATTTTTTTTAAGAATTTTTGAAGGAGAGGGGTTTAAACTGCCCTTAATATGTAGGAGGAAATTTAATAGTAGAAGAAAATAAAGAGATATCTTATTTTTATCTAAAAGATTTATGTTTATATTCCCCTGGGAGGAAAAGATTAATTATTCATAAATAAGTTGTCTTATATTTCTTTTATGTTCTATTAAAAACATATATTTTTATCCCTTATGGAAATACTAGTGTTCTACATTTTAAACATGAAAAATCTTACTGTGCCTATTAAATTTACCACTAGGCTGAGCATATTTTAAATACTCAAAATAATTTACAAGACACATATATCACAAGAACATATTGTACTATTTTTAAAAAATTGAAAAATTCACTTGCAACAGGTCTTAACTAAGGGGTTTATATACCTGCATGTGTTTCAATTTCTTTAAATAACTATTGAATTTGGGGTCCCTAAGATAAATTTTTGAGGGAAAGTATAAAAAGTCAACATAAAAAATAAAAATACTTTTTTAAAAATCTATTTTAACCAAGTATTTATTTTTCACCAAATGTAATAAATTGATGACATTTCTATGAAAAAAAAAGACTTTCAAATTAAGTAAATGTATATAAACACCCTTCAGGTGACAGAAATTTCCAAATGTACATGCATTTTTGTATAGTATAATTTAAATTGGTTTTACTAACAAAATAAGAAAATAACAGTGTGGCATTTGCAGATAACTATGCCTGAGTTGCTGTGTTAATTTTTAAAAGATATTCATAATTGTTTTATGTTAATTGTGTTTGAAATAGCATCCATTAAATTACAGTTTTATATTTATTTATTGTACAATTATCTAAAATTATTTTCAGTCAAGGCCACCTAGCGTGTAAATAATGCCCTAAAATTTAAATCTATAGAAACAAATCATGTTCCTACCACGTTATTTATTTCTAAGTAGCATCATATCTGCATGCATAATAAAAGTTGCTGCTTTTTCCCCAAAATTAACAGTCAATTAACTATCTGAATGCAGGTTTGGGTAACAGTTGTTTTGACATATTATTTTGCATTCCATTTTACAAGAATACAAATAATATATATACGCTTTAATTCACACCCCTAAGTAGTAATATATGATATTTTATAAGTATAATGTGTACAGTTAGTACCAAATCTACAGAAAGGAATACAATTTACAAATAGAATGTGTTGTTACCAAAGTATGGAAATGATAAAACACAACTTTCTTTTACAGTTAGTTCATTATATTAGAATTTATTTCTTTTAACAAACATTGGAATTTCATTTTCATTTCAATATTAGGGAATAAAGCCTACTATATTTTCTTGTTCAGCGTCAATGTGTTTTTTTATTATCATGTGTTAGATACCTGACATAGATACACAAATGGAATGAATGACCCATCCAGCTGATTTTTTTCTGAACTTGCATTGTATTATTTTAAATGGGAAACTCAAAGCCACAAATTATTTTGTTAAATTGATATATTTTTTACAACTGAAATACTATGAGTATATAAATCTACAGTAATCCATATTTCATGTGAATTTATTTGAAACATGAAAATGAAAATACATTTTCTTCTTTACTACTATATACACGGATATCCACATGACACATATACATAAATATCTATGACCCATGTAGGTATAATAAAAAGTCAGATAAGCATTAATGGCTATTATATTCATATTGAGTTAAATTATATGTGTGTGGCCTGTATGTGAGTGCAAAGTCTTTCACAAAGTTGGACACTGGGCATACCTGGATTTGCATCCAAGCAAACTTTGGCATTTATTAGCTGGCTCAACAAACAAATATATTGTAAATTCCCTTATCCTCAGTTGCTTAATTTGAAAAATGAAGTTATTGTTGTTGTAAGGATAAATAAAATCAAATACATAAAATGCTATGCATGCAGTTAAATATGTCATTATTGCTCAATAAGTTGGATAGCCATAAATACGTAAAATGTTAAAATCTATATCTGGATGAAATATATGCTGTTTCAAAGTGATATATTAATTTCCTAAATGTTTAATATCTAAGTACTACACAAGAAAACTATTTACTTCAAAGTAGATACATAAATTCTGTCTTTTTAAATACATTTATATCCATATATAAATACACGATCAACCAAGATGTCTTTAATGATCATTTTTATAGAGATAGAGTAAATAAATAATAAAATTAAGATGTCTTTTAGGAATACCTCATGTGTGCTAATTACAAGGTTCAAAAAACAGAGACAACATTTCTTGGGAAAACTGTTAGATTGTACTTCTTTCTATTATGCACCAATTGCAACCTCTCCTTTTGTACTATAATGCACATACAGAGAATTTTATTTGCCTTGATTAGATAATTGTAGTTTCTTAGAGCTGAACAAACATGATGAATTTTGGAAATCACAAATACATCAATTTTATAAGTCATGGCACTTTATGTCTATCTTTGAAACTACTCTCTGTGCCATTGTCATAATACCTGACATTTAGAACATCAATCCAAATTATTACTTGTGTGGATGAAAATATGTAGAGAAGAACTAAGAAAGTGTACATATAATGATTCAAGTTTTAATATCTCAAATCTGTATAATGTTCACCATCTGTATTACCACCACCTGTTAGTTCCAGTCCCCATTATCTCAATGAGGTGAGAAATTGCATTAATGAAACAAGTGTATAGTTACTAAGGTTCCTACCTGAAATTCAAAGTCAAGTTTCTTTCCACTACACCATTCTCAAGATGCTGCAATCTAATGAGAAAGAAAATATTGGTACATAAATATGCATAATACAAGATTGAATATTGTACATTTCTAAGAGAGGTGCAAAAAAGTATTAAAAAGGCTGCAAGGAGGGAGTAATTGCATATGGAGTGCAATACGAAAAAGAACTTTATTAAAAAGTTGTCATTTTAATAATTAACCTGAATGGGGGTGCTTGGGTGGCTCAGTTGATTAAGGGGTTAAGCATCTGTCTTCAGCTCAGGTCATGATCCCAGTGCCCTGGATGTGAGTTCGGAGTCTGCTTCTCACTCTTCCTCTCCCTCTGCCTCTGCTCCTCCCCCCCCACTCATGTTCTCTCTCTCTCTCTCTCTGTCTCAAATAAATAAAATCTTAAAAAAAAAAAAGAAGAACCTGAATGATTCTAAATAAGGCTTATTTTCATTGCCAACTAGGAAATATTTCAAACACTTTAAAACAATTTCTTCTTAAATCTTTATAAGCCAATTCCACCTCTAAAATTCAGGGCAACTAAAAGAAAAACAGTTTTTATCTAACTCTTGAGACACAAATCTTATTGTCAAAGCCTTCTCCCTACTGCAATAGCCTCTTTCCCTCCTTTGCAATAGAATTTTGAATAAACCTCTCCTTACTAAGTGCAGATTTGTTTTTTATTAGACATCACATTTGAATGAGATCAAAATTCCTTTTTTTTTTTTAAGATTTTACTTATTTATTTGACAGAGAGAGACACAGTGAAAGACAGAACACAAGCAGGGGGAGTAGGAGAGAGAGAAGCAGGCTTCCCGCGGAGAAGGGAGCCCGATGTGGGGCTCAATCCCAGGACCGTGGGATCATGACCCAAGCCGAAGGCAGACGCTTAATGACTGAACCACCCAGGGACCCCGAGATCAAAATTCTAGACCATAAAAATATTCATATAGAGAGAGCCATCACTATTTTTTTATCTTATATTTTTTTCTCCTGTATATAATTTCAAGAGTAAAACAGAGAAAATGTTTAGGAGATCAAAATCTTGAATAAATAAAAATGTATGCCATAAATAAAATAACAGAAAATAATTCACTATAATAAAAGCACTTCAAAATCAAAATAGAAGTTACTTTCCTTTACATTTAATTGGAAATACTAATTATTATTTCATGACAAGCATACACATGTAACTCATGCACACATCTGGCTCTCTATTTACATTCCAATGCCATGAAAGCTCAAGGAATACTAGAATATGAAAATATTTTTGAGGTGCCTGGGTGACACAGTCAGTTAAGCACCAGAATCTTGATTTCTGTTCAGGTCATGATCTCAGGGTTGTGAGATCGAGCCCCACGTCGGAATCTGCTTGAGATTCTCCCTCTCCCTCTGCCCCTCCTGCTTGTGCTCTCTCTCTCTCTCTAAAATAAATAAATATTTTTAAAAATATATTTTCACTATAGATAATTAACCTGCAAAAGTAAATTTGAAATGTATTTACATTAAGAGGAAGCAAAAACTCAGGCATAGCCTAAGAAAATGCTAGCTAAGTAGGGTAGCAAACACAATGAGTTCATAGGTTGTAATAATCAAGCCATGTACAGGATCAAAAATAAAAAATAGATAACTTTGCTTAGGTGATTCTTCCTATGTTTTAAAATAAAACTATAATATTATGCTTAATTTTTTCTTGTTTGTTACTCTTACTTCAAAACTAAGGTTTACCATTCTTGTTTCAAAACGTAAGGGAAAAATACTAAAAATTCGTAGTTTATTTTACGGGTCAGTTTTCTTTAAACTAAGACTTCGGAATATGTTTTAATCTAATATTTCCAAAAATCACACTTCTGTTCTTCATTGTATGTCCTCTACAGAAATCAGTTACGTTATCAAGGGACTGGATAATTTTAGTGCATTATTGATTTAGGAAAAGAGAATAGATGTAATTAATATCTACAAATGGCAATATTTATATTTATATTATACAATTTTTCTTGATTTAACCAAGTAATCAGTATAGTATTTTTTTTCAGCAACCAGAGATTCTAAATTAATTGTAGCATTGTAATGCAATAGATTACAACTTTAAAGGAAGAAGGAGAAAAGCATTGGACATCCTACCCCTTTTGTAGTAATGTTACAGTGATAAGCCTCAGAAAAGAACATGCATTTCATACTACTATAACTTTACTACTGTATGTTCACTGAGGAGATGCAAGTATTTGTAGCTCATTAAAGGTACATTAAAATTGTGTTGTGATTTATAGACAGTTGGTCATACTCTACTCCAAAAGTTAGTCTATGACTGATCCTTTTTTTTTAACCCACACCATATGTGATTCTATTGTGTACTACTTTTATATGTGAGTGTTAGATTATTACATTCCCTAGTCACCAACATTTTAAAGTAACCATATATTCACATTTATTCCATAATTATTCATCTGCAAATGTTGAAAATATTGCAGCCACTTAGTATTCACTTTTATGAAAATATGTGAAATGAATTCCCCCTAAATATAGAATATATACAGGTGAAAATTTAATGAAAAATTTCACACCCAAATTTATTGCTGAATTATTTGTCAGGAAATCCTCACTAGTCCATCAGCTGATGCTAAGGCTGATGCTAAACCCTACATGCAAAATCCACTTATCCCATTATTTCTTCACTATTTTGTTGTTTCCAAGCTAACAGACCATGATTTTATTTCCCAGGGAACAAGAATCTTTTTCTAGGGAGCCTTCTAAACTCCAGCAGGCCTCATCAGAAAACTGATAATCAATGAAGTGTGTACACATTAAATCTCCAAAGAATTCTGATAAAGTAGTGCATTTTTATAGCTTGCCTGTCTTCAGAGAAGCTTTACGAATGAAGCCAATTGCTTTCTCCACTGGGAGTTCTAGATGGTAGAGATCAAGGAAGAGGCTAATATTTACCATTTCACAAATTAAAGACTACATGGTAAGTTTAGTGTCAGACAGCTTTAATTATTTTTCCCCACTTTGTAGTTTGGATAGTTTAATCCGGGTTTCCCTGCAGCTGACAACTTGGAGTGAAAAACCAAGCAGAAGGACAGCGTTTGCTGAGGCAGATAATGTAGCAGAAATGCAGAGGATTTTCTGGGATGCAAGACAATGTTTTGCATCCCTTTAGCTACCCAACTGAGTGAAAATTCCAATATTCATCTAATGCAGAGAACGTAGGTAATGATACAGTTTTCTGTGCATTTGACTGCGATAGAAAAGATGTAAAAATAACCTGACATAAAATATACAATATTTGTTAAAATTACATCACTTATACTGAAGGATACAGAGAATCAATGTATATTTTGAATGCAGTGAGCAGAAAACATTATTGTTTGTACATGTAATTTATGGACTGTTTTAATGTATTCCTATTATTTTTATTGTTATTTTTTACAAATAATATTGTTGACAATTTAGGAATGTGAAAAAATCAGGATGACGTTCTTCTGGTGCTAAGAAAGAGTTTTAAAAGATTTCGATTCTAATTTGGTGTTGTACATTTTCAAATTTAAAGGACTAATTGTTTAAAAACCTGCAGCAGCCCCTTAGGAACATACCATTCTTGTAACCTAGGGAAACTGCAAGAAAGTGCTTGGCTGGAAACTCATTCTCCTATTCATTTCTAACAGTCTCTAATTAGACCCATTATGAGCCATGAGTTAGATTCCTGATCTTTGAATTTCATACTTGCATTTTTCTCAGTATATATTCTCACTAATTCATGAAATTTTCCTTGAGCCTCTTATGATCCCTTGAGGACATTAATTTCTTTTTGAATCTCCAGCACCTAATAGAATGTACTTATTTCTGGATGTGCCATTTATTCAATCATTCAGTCACCCATACATTCATTCATTCACTGATCAACCCATCAGTCAGTGGATAATTATTGATTACCAATTATGTGTCATGTTGCATATTAAACCTTGAGAATTCAAATATAAATTAAATTTAGCCACTGCCCTAGAGAAGCTTATTGTGAAGCAACTCCTTCTCATCTTAAAGTCCTTATTGATTTACTTTCAAAACATACAAGAGAGTCTTTAACAAGACTTACTATATTAGTCAGATTTACTGTAGTAAAAAAATCTCAATGGCTTGACAATGAAGCTTGCTTATGTACAAGCTAGGGGCTCTGCTCCTGCTCTGTGTTCTGGTTTCATTTCAGGATCCAGGAGATACCTGAATGAAGAAGAAGCCTCCTTTTGGATTACAACATTAATGTGGTAGAGAGTAAATTGCTAGAGAGATAGCAGAAACACACATGGCATTTTAAGCTTCTTCTCAGAAGTGGTATGAAGTTACTTCCTCTCCTGTTTTATTGGCCAGAGAAAGTCATATGAAAAAGACTGACAAGAGAGTAGGGATCAAGTTTCTGAGTCACGTGGGAACATGGCAGTAAGTAGGTATGGACAAATCACTCTAGCAAAGGAAGGAAAGGACTTGGAGTAAGCATGTAATCTGCCAATTTATCTGAGATCTTGCTCTTTATGGGGGATTGTGATTTTGATATGATATTTCATAATGGTATTTCTAATTAGGTAGTGATTAACAATTATTTTAAATATTTTAATATAATACATTTTATTCTTTGGTAACTTTTAACCACATTCCCACAAACCAAGTCTTCATAGTTTGTATCATAAACATTAAATTACCAGAAGATGAAAGAACTGCAAAATAGTTTCTATTATGAAAGAGCACATAAAAATTAGTAGAGAATAAGTTTTGGTATTTTGCCTGGGAAACAAGTCAGATACTGCTACACATAATTCTCTCTGTATTAAAAGGATCATTACATATGCTAAAATATGTGTAGCATGCTGTTATATAAAATATTGTTAAGTAAGGTACTTAACTTTGGAAAAGCAAAACGTTTATTTTTTTATATATACCTATAGATACCTGTATATATGAATAAGTTTATTCATTGAAAATTAGAATTTCTATCTCAGAGAAGCTTACATTCTATATTCCTCTCAGCTAGTTAGAAGCCTAAGGAA